AAAATTAAACATACATAAGGAAATTTTGGAAGGGAAGCTAATGTAATTTACTGTAATGAAACTTACTGAAGAAACTTAATGCTACAAGGATGAATATGTACAATTCATAGAATAAGACTCAACATTGGGGTTACACAATAGAAGTGATAAAAAAAAAATTGATCGATCAATCTGTATTCACTTGATCTACGAATTCTGAGGAAGGATATGTACAAAGAAAGAAGTGTTTAACAGGAAGGCAGACTTGGTGCACTCAAATCTAGACTGTTAAATCTCAGAATTCGGAGAGAACATGAACACACAAAAAAAAATTCTTGAATATTAATAAGTTGATACTGTAATTATTCACCTATACAGGTTATTTACATTTAACCCCAACTCTGCTAGGGTGAGATTGACATATGCAGAATGGGTGTCATCTCTGGGAGGATCAAACTCTGTTGCACTGACTAACTCATGCCGTGTTTGAGGCACACCTGAATTGGTTGTTACAAATGATACTTGAGGATTTCTCAATACCCGTCGTGTATGTAGGGAATAATGACATTCAGGTTGATCATCTGAGTATTAGAGGTAGAGGGTACAGGATCAGGAGGGTTGTCTGTCACATTTGTCTGAGTTGGGACATCATTATCATCACAAACTAACTTCATATGATCCAAATGTTATTCTTTATACTGACCAGTACTAATTTCTCTAACCTTATACTTATTGCCAGTGATATGTTCAACTACTCGATAAGGACCAACACACTTTTGATCAAGCTTAGGCACTGCAGACGTCTTGTTAAAGTTAGTCAGCATAACTCTCGAACCTACTTTGATTTTGGACGGCTTTGCTCGAGTGTTTGCGACTCTTGTAAATTCTGTTTTTGATTCATGAAGTGTTTCAGGGATTCTTCTAAAAACACCTTAAGCTAAGCTGGTGCGAGTTACTATGAAATCATCAGGGTTGTAATTTGGTTTCGGGTTAGAATATAACAACTCATAAGGCAAATGTTTATCTACACCATACAATGCATAATAAGAACATAAGAACATAACGAAGGAACACTGCAGAAGGCCCACTGGCCCACGCGAGGCAGGTCCAAGTCTCCTACC